GGGAAAATGACTCGTTTTCCCGAGTGTGAAGCTTAAATCTTTTCAAACGGAGATCTCTACGCATGTTTCCACATGCAGGTTTAAAGCGTTTTGCATTTGAAAGAGAAAAATAATCTCTTTGGTGTAGGTGCTTCCCAGGCACTCAAAGAGGAGAAGAAGTTCAGCGGATCCCAGCGTGAAGGACCAGGTGGAGCGAAGGTTAACGCAGAATCTGCCCCAGCCAAGCCACTGAGTCCTGTTGCAGAAACATTCAGAGTTATTCAGGGGGCAGTGAGCGAAGAGTACGTGAGAGCGACTCAGGGTGTCTTCCAGTTTGAATTATCTGGTAAGACCATCCCCTGTAAAACCTTCACGTGCTCACGCTCCTAGCAAAAGGCACTGGGTGTTTTCAAAGAGGAACGCTCGCCTCTTCAGGCGATCCCCAAAGAGACCACCTTTGGTTCTGTTTGTTCTGTGCGATGCTCCTTCTCGGGACCGACTTCAGCACGCGCAGGAAGCTGCTGCCGCTCCTGGCGCATGCGGGCAGGCTTTGTCACGGCGCTGGCCCTGCGGCGGGGGGTTAGCATGGCGATGGATAGACGGGGCGCTCGCAGGGCCACGGTAAAAGCACCAGCTCCGTCAGCAGCGTGCTGCCTTTGGGCTCTTCTGCCCGCGTCCCCGACACGTGGTGCTGCGGGGCCTCTGCCGGAGGCCGGCTTTGCCTGCACGTGGAACGCGGGGCAAGTGGTCACCTCTTGCGGAGCGCCGCCAGCGTACGTAGTATCGCGTGACTGCTCCAAAGGGACACGGCAGCGGCCGTCTGACAGGGAGGAGTAGGGAGGGCACCTTTGCTGCCTCGTCACCTCTTGTCACTGTCTGTTCAGGTGATGACGGGGGCACTTGGTATATCGACCTGAAAACCAAGGGTGGGAGCGCTGGTTTCGGAAAGCCTCCTGTGACGGCCGACGTGGTTATGAGCATGTCGAGCGCCGACTTTGTGAAAATGTTCACAGGTGAGTGACCGATGCGTTTGCCAGGGCGGACGCGGGTGCTGGTGCCCGGAAAACCTTCTGCTGATGGGCGCGCAGCCAGCCTCCTCGCTTTGTGACCCTGGGATGGAGGGGCTTTTGGCTTTTTGTGGCTCAAGTGAAAGCGTGGGATAGACCTCCTCGGATTTTTCTGAACTCTTCTGGCCTGTGAACAGGAAGAGCACAAAAGCTTATACGGCTTTTATGAACTAGGTATTGAAATTTTGGCAGCGAGCGTAGCGTCAGAAAGAACCCAGTCAATCTGTTGGACTTCTGTTCTGCACATCTCTAATCTGGGTTTCCTAAACGTGCACTGCTTTTACTGCAGAACTTGGTAGGAACGTAACCTGGTTTGTTTCTTCTCCCCTGAGAAACCTGAGTTATATGGTCTTGTCTCAGTTAAAATCAGTCATAACCTAATAATTTCATTAAGTAAGAGCATACAACATCTGATGCAATTTGGCCCTCTTACTGAGATTTTTCTGGCTCCAGACAAGGTTTTTACTTGTGAAGTATTTGTTGATCAAGAGGCAACGTCACAACTTTCATAATTTTAAATTGCTGCACTGCTTTGTGAGTGTGGTTTTTGCATTTATCACTATTCAAAACAGTTCTGAACCGTCTTTAGCAAAACTTCAAATGGAGTCAGAAGAGAACAGATTAATCCTGGAAAAAGAAGTTATCCATTAAGTAAGCTAATCATTATAATCAAGTCCTCAAAAAACACCTTTAAAAATGGACCAGAAAAGCAAATTCTATTTCAACTAATCAGCCTCCTCCTTTTCAGCAAAGTGCTTCAATATTGTGAGATATATATAGATATATAGATACAGATATACGGAAATACTTTGTTAGACTGAGATATTTGAAGGGTATAAGATTTAATCACAGAGTGTGATTTAACATTTTTACCACGTGGATAAAAATACGAAGTATATACCAAAGAGGATTTTCTAAAGAACTCGGAGATCTTACTCTAGTGATATTACTGTTTACTGTGCACAGCCCGTATCCGGTTCCTTTTCATTTTCCGATGATCCTGTTTCTTCTTTTTAGGTAAGCTAAAGCCAATCGTGGCTTTCATGTCAGGAAAATTAAGTGTTAAAAGTGACATGGTGCTAGCAATGAGTCTGGAAAAGATGCTGCCACAGTTCATTTTTGAACTGTGAGGGGAAAGCCTTACTAGCAGAACACTGGCCTTTCATATGTAACTACAACGCTGTTTTAAAATACCAGTCCTCATTTTTCTTTGATGCAGTGTAAGTATCAATAACAATTGTAATTGTTAGAGAAGACACAACTCAGTCTGACTGTAATGCCCAACAACGAACATGTTTTTCTTAATGACTTGCTATAATGATTAAAATAAAAATGATGTCCTGAAACTCCGGTGTTTCAAGGATAATTTTTTTTCATTTTCACTTTTTCCTGTGATGGCAAATTGTCCTCTGTTACTGTGAGATGTAGACCTAATAGAACTTTATTTTTTATAATATTATCTTGTCTTTGAGTTACCTGATGTCTAATGAGATGTGAGTTCTGATCCCAGAATTAGGGGATGCACAACATGTTTCCAGTATACTGTAAGAGTGGAACTCAGCACTAACTTTTCGTCTGACTGGGAGACAAAACAGCATTTTTCTTTTCTGTACTGGTTTCACAAAGCTTGTAGGAACTGACCATCTCTATCAGATGTTATTAAAAAAGGCTGATGATCTCAAGCTATTGGAAAACACAATGTATGTGCTTGTGTGCAAAAGACGGTCACATAAATTTTGTTTCTTTAGGGAGCCACCTTAAAATACGAAACATCTTTTGAAACCTACAGGCACTAGAAAATGTTTTTCAAGTGAACATACATATTCAAAGTACATTTCCAAACACTGTCCTTTAACACTACAAGAACCGAAGCAGATCAAAGAACTTGGGTATCGGGAGCGAGGTTGTTTAATTTCATACCTAATTCATCATCAATCCCATGCCTTTGCAGTTTTCCCTTCTGTGGAACTTTTCTGCCAAAGCATTTTGTTTTTCAGGATTGCAGGGGTGGATGGGAAAGGTGTGTAGCATCCAGTCCAATATTGATTATGTCCTGGTAGCTGACGGCAGAATGTGTTTGTTTACTTCCCTGCCTGTGTCTATAGTTAATGGTGCGTGTGTTTCTTGTGTAGTCGGTAATACTGCTCTCGCACAAGATGGATGGTAGCTGTGAATGTCATTTGGTGATGGACTGTGATGCCTGTGTAACCCTGGAGAAAGGTGCCGCCTTTAGAAGAAAAGTGCTTTTGTTGGAGAAGGATCCAGAGCAGTACAACCTGTCTACAACTGGCCACTGTGTTTCTTCTCTCTCTGGTACTCTCAGTAGCGGTGCTTGCATGGTGGAAGAGTGAGAGCTCGCTGTGCGGCTCTAGGGGATACTGACAGCTGCTGACAGCCAGATCAGGGCTGCGCCTGACCACTGATGCGGTTGTATGAATAACTGCTCGTGCCAGGGGTAGGAGGGCAGGAACTACCACATCCAGCACTTCGGTTGGTGTAAACGGTTGGGGTTCACACCCAACAGCACAACCAATTCATTAGCAAGAAAAAGGAGACCCAGAAAACTTGGACCTCTGTTTTTCAATTAAATGTATTTACACTTTGCTACTTGGCCCAGGATGAGTGTGCGTCCCGCAGGCAGCATGTGGGTAGTTATCCCACTGCCTTCCCTTCAAAGTCCTTGGGGTAAGCGGGGTGGTGGCTGTGCCGTGGGATGTGTTCTGTGGGACCTGGTGATGCTGAGTATTGGGGATATTTGATCCTTGCATTACAAACGTTCGTATTATGCCATTCCTGGAGTTTCCACTGTAAACAGACATGGCTGAAAAACATGCCAGTCTGCTGTGCACTGTTAGGACCAGACCTACAACGGATGCTGTAGTGGAGGAATTACTGTGGGTATTTGCGTTCTGCAGAGGATTTTTACGTGAGGGCAGAAACGTGTTGCTTTTTAATCTGTTGCTCAGTTCACAGCTTTTGAGGCCCATGAAAATGAAGTGACTAAACAGACTGCGACCGCTCTGTTACTGCGAATAACTGGAGAAAAAGCTACAGGTTCTTCGGGTGACAGCTCCCATTAATAAATGAAGAAAACGGCTGGAAGACCTACGTAAAACACGGACGCTACCCGCGCGCCGCTGGCGGTAGCGAGCAGGGCTGATGCTCGCCACCCTGCGAGGGAAATGCAAGCCCAGGCCCCACGTGCCCAGGGGGCCCCTCTTTCGACGCCTTCCCCCCGCCCCCAGCGCCCGAGCACGGCGCCGGCTCCTCCGCTTGCCTCTCTTCCCCCGTTTTGAGCCCA